CCACCACCCTGGCCATCGCAACAACAAGAGAGACTCAAAGAACTGCATCAGAAGTCAATCCGAACCTGTACTTAGCGTTTAGGGTTTAGGGTTTAGGGCCTTTAGGGTTTAGGGTTTAGGGTTGAGGGCCTGTACTCCTAAACCACAGAAGCCCTGCGCTGAAGGGCTGATGTGGGGCATAGCATCCGAAGTGTGAACATGTGCGCTCTCGTTTGGGTGTCAAGCCCAACATATATATATATATGTATAAATATAGTTATATAGTTATATAGTTATATAGTTATATATATATATGTGTGTATAACTGTATATGTACACCTAGGCCTGAAGCCCTCGAGCCTCAAATCTTGAGCACTTATTCCAGGTCTAACCGTCGTCAGCCTCTGAATCCTCGAGGCTCCTAAACCCGAAGAGATTCATCAATTCTTCAAATCCCAAAAGCCTGCGTCAATCCTTGCACCCAAATGCCCAAAGTCCTCTAGACCCTCAATCTCTGGAATCCCGAAATCCCGAAACCAAAATCCCCAAATCCGTCATCCCTAGACCCCTGAAATCACCAAATGAGCCCAGGGCCTGGCAGAGGAGCTGCGAAAGGCAAAGCTCAAAACCCAGGAGTCCAGAGGTTTAAGGGTGTGGAGCTCATGTTAAGATAGGGTTTAGGGTTTTAGGGTTTAGGGTTTAGGGTTTTAGAGTTTAGGGTTTAGGGAAGATATTCCTAGAGCAGCACCGCTGCTACAATGATGGCGGTTCTAGTATTGCTATTATCATTGGTAGCAATACGGCGACGACGACGACGACGCTGGCATCCAGCGGCAACGACGACGACTGCCATTATTTATAAACGATAATAAGAAGTAGTCACGATCGTACTAACAGTACGAATCCGAATACTTAGGCCAATGCCCGTGCTATTGTGAATGCGAATGCACATGCAAGTATCCAAACGAATATAAACACGAATACTGATGCAAATGCTACTACGAGTACTAGTGCAAGTGCTTATACGGATACCAGGGCCGATGGTAATCCTAAAGCTAATTCGAGTACCAATGCCAATACTAATGATAATGCTAGAGCTAGTACTAATACTAAAACTAGCGATAACGGCGATAACTATGCAGACCAAGGCTAAGACTAATGCTTACAACTCAAATCACATACGACAATACGAAGTCTAGCAACAATCAGGACACCACCAGCAACAAGAATAACTAGTAAGAACAATTCAAGACTAATTAGTAAGAGCAACTCACAACAACGGTAATAGCAATGGCAACAATAATCACAAAAGTAATACCAAGAGTAATAGCGGTTCCAATGTCAACACCACTAACAACACTGTCGACATCAGCAGTAATATGTATGTATGTATACATATATGTGTGTATATATATATATATATGTATGTACACATACAAGTTGGTTGACAGGACTAAAAATAATACCAATGAGAACAAGCCTGACAGCACCAGCAAAATAGCAAAACATCAATACTAACAATGTAGCAGACCATAATCGTCCTACAAAGAAGTCAAGAGCCATAGCAAGAATACAACTAACAAAGATAATGACAATGATAATGAGAGTGATACTAAGAAAGAGCAAAAACTGATACTGTCAATGACAATGATGAAGGTGATTTTGATAATATCCAGGTATATTGTGATGAGTGATAATAGCACTGTCATGGTAATGAGGACATGGCTATGTGTATGAAGAAGAGAAGCGATAAGATTCAGCCCTCGTGAAGCCCGACGTCCGAGTAACCGTAAAACCTTAACGCGACGTCGGGGTTTGAGCTTTTGGGAGTGTGGAATCTGAGCCGATAGTCATCAGAAGAATACTAATCAGGAAACTTATGCCCTTCCAGGAAGTTAGTCTCATAGGAGCTTGAAGGAGCTTTTTTCCGCATTCTGTCGATCATACGAAGTCAGCAGACCTGAAACTTAAATATCAGCTGCGTTCAGGAGCAGACTTTCGCGAAGGAGCGCTTCGCATCGTGTGCATCGGACCAGCACCAGGCTGGGATTTTGACTTGGCATCATGTGAATATATGCTATGATCTGATCTGCTATGCCCAGCTATGGGCTGATATGATATGAGTACATAAACAGATACAGAAAAAGAAAGGAATAAGTACGTACATACATAAACTTATATCTGAGTAAATATATATGCATATATATATACACACACATGATAATAGTGTACGTGCAACTGTACGTCTGTATGTCTGTCCGTCTGTCTGCCAGCCTGCCTTCCTGCCTGCGTATCTGTGTGTCTGTCGGCCTAGCTGCCTGTGATAAATAGACAAATAGGTACAATAGATACATATACATAGATAGAGAGATAGATAGAGAGATAGATGCATAGAGAGATTTATGCATAGATGGATAGATGGATGGACGGATACATGGATAGATGGATAGATAGATAGATCGACAGATAGGAAACACATTAAATTAGTGAATCAGCAACGAAATACATGAACAAATATATGTGTATATAGGTACGTATACACATACTTTTAGCAGCATTATTCATCTACATGTTGTGTTTGCTTGTGGACAGATGGACGGGCAGATAGATCGATAGACAGACCGACAGACGGACAGGTAGACAGGTAGACAAGCAGACAGTTAGACAGATAGACAAATCGTCAGATACACAGGTAGACAGATAGATAGAGATAGATAGAGAGGTAGATAGGTAGATAGATAGGGAGGGACATAGATAGATGGATGTAGATGGGCAGGTGTGTAGATAACTGGATCGGTCGATCGGTAGGTAGATGGAAAGATTGAAAGATGATCGGATGTGTTTTTCATGGGTTGATAGTGAAAGACAGATCGCGGAGTCGCAGGTGGCCTTGGGCCTTGAAACTGCTCTCTCTGCCAGCGAGCAGCACGCTGTGGACTTGGAGCAGCGCTTCGCCATCGCGAAGGAGCCCGAAAACAGCTTTTAAAATCTTCTGAGCCCAAACCCGTACACAATCCCTATCGAAAACGACGCCGCGAACCTTTCATATTTGCAAGCCCTCGATTTCCTAAGCCAGGAGCAGCACCGCGCGGCCCAGGCGCGGGCCAAGGAGATGTGCCGAAATCTGGAGGAGGGCGGGGCAAGACGGCTTCAGGAGCTGCTGCCTCTCCCAAGGCCCGAGGTCACCAAGCGGCTCACACAGGAGAAGGACGGCTTGGTGGGTGGCCCCCGGGAGGTGGCGGAGACAGAGGCCGTGATTCTGGAGACGAGTTCCGCGCAGAAGGCGGCGATGCTGGAACTCAAGGAGCTCCATCACAGGCAGCGCTGCTGCCTCGTGGGCCTTGGCGAGCAGTTGCAAGGGCCCCACCGCAGCGCCACCCACGAAGCGCTGCAGGAGCTCTCGGCCAAGGCCAAGGAGAGCCTGGTGGAGGGCGTCAAGGATGCGCAGACGACGCTGGGCTCCTTGGAAGTTGCCTTGCAGAAAGCAGCGCAGGTCGCGGCCGCGGGCGCGGGCAGCGTCACGAAGGAGGCCGAAGAAGCCCAGCGATCCTTCGCGGAGCACACGCAGCAGCTCCAAAAAACCTTGGCCTCTCAGCGCCAGGCTTTGGCGGCCTCGGCGGCCCGGACCTCCGAGGCTTTGAAAGCGGCCTCCGAGGCCGTCTCTGAGCTCTCGGCGCTCTCCGACGCCTCCCTGGCCGAAACAGCCCAAGCGGTCACCGGCCTTCAAAATGTCCACGAAGAGACTCGGTTGCCCTTTTTATAGAAGTAAGAGATTCAGCGGGAGCGTCTTCTTATTGCTGGTGCTGAAAGCTGCTATTGAATGTCATGGTGTTTCATAAGGTGTTATAGTATGTTATAGTATAGTCCTGTAATTACTGGTCTTGTTGGTCAACTCCACCTCAGGAGATTCTTCAGAAGCTCTGCGAGAAGGCAAAGTGCAATGCAGATGCCGTGAAAGCCCCGAGCTGAGCTAAACTAGGCCGTGTGAGGCAGAATGTATGAGCATCTGCACTGTTATGTGTAGATGGACTAGAAACAGATACAATATGTGTAGATGCCGAAAAGATGCCGTGATATGGAAGAAGGAATAAGGAACGAGGAACGGCTGTAAATAAACAAATAGATAGCAGATGTGTGCAGAAGAGAAAGGGCTTCCGAAATCTTAGAACCCTGAATCCCTCAAACCCTCAAGCCTTAACACCAATAAGCCGCGTACCCTAAACCCTAACATCCAAAAATCACCAAAGCCTGCAGCCACAAAAGCCTTAAACCCTGAACCCAATGCCGAAAAAATCTCTAAAGCCCTGAAAGGCAAGAATCCTAAATCCCTGAACCCCAAACCCTTAAAGCCCCAAGGCCCATTCTCTAAACCCTAAAAAGCCCGAAAAGCTCTACACCCTAAGCTTCAAATTCCTGAAAACCCTAAACCCTAAGCTCCCAAAGAGCCCAAACGCACCAAAACCTAGGAGCATGAGGTCTAAACCCTACTATCCCCAATCCGAAAAAGCCGCCTTAAACTGCCCTCCCAGGAAGAGACCGGCTCGGGCGCCCGAGCCCTGGAGTCACACCAGCAGCTGCTCGGATGCGAAGAGGGACGAAGGATGCTTCAAAACGGGGTTCCTTTCAGAGACTCTTTCCAAGTTACTGAGGGTTGTTATTGTAATGATTCTGATGAGGGTTAGTAGTGACCAGAACAGGGTTTTGTGGCACGTTTATCAGCGTCTAGTTTCAGGTTGCAAGGGTTTTGAACGAGGAAGAACAGTTCCTTGACCATACTTCCCCGAAGCTTGAAGATAGGTTTCGTGTGATCTCAACCGTAACATACCCTAAGCCAGAAGCCCTTCAACCTCCGAACGCAGTACCCACCGGCCCCAGCAGAACTGAGGCAAGCTGCTGCTGCCCTAGATGCCGCGCGGGAGGCCTAGAGGTCGGGCGCAGGCCTATGGTTTGATGGACCTCCCTGCGATTTCAGGGTAGCTACGGTTTGCAGTCGGAGGGGGAGGGGGGGTTCAGGGGTTTACGGTTGAGGGCTCAAGGGTTAAGGGGTTTCGGGATAAGCATCGAGGGGCTCTTGGTGGGCTCCGGGGTTTCAAACTCCACGGCTATGTACAGGCATGTACATGGCTGAGAACATTGCGATAAGCAAAGAGTACAGATGAGGTGCAAACAGACAATTGAGGATGAAAGAAGGAACAGGTAGATGCAAAGAGATGCAAACAAGTAAGCACGTAAATGAACACGTGCATAGGTGCATAAATGGATATAAGAACTCCATCTCTTTGTCTATTTCTCCTTCTATGTACCTATATATCCATGTATCTATATATCTATATTTCTTTATGTCTATATATATATATATCTGTATTTCTGTATACCGATGCACCTATGCATCTAGTTGTACATGTACACGTCTATACACATACACAGTTTTTTTGAATCAGCCAGGACCTAAGACCCAGAGTTTTTGGAGTGGGGTTTCAGGGTGTAGTGCTTAGGAAAAAGAGCCGGGGGTTTAGCAATTTAGCTTTTAGGGTTTAGGGTTTAGGATGCGGTCAAGCACGGAAAGACAAGCCCTAAAACCCTACACTTCGAAACCCTTGAAGCAACCTTTATAGTAGCTCGTAGAGCCCTTAGTACAAGTCTTCTTGACTTATAGTAGCACGTATCGCAACCCTTATAGACCAAACCTCGTCTTGGGGCTAAGGCAGAAGCGCTGGGACTCCATTGCACAAGTGCAGGGCAAGTGTGTGGAGGTTGGCCTTTGATTTTGGATGTGGGGTTTAGGTTTTTGAGGCTTCGGGGTTCTAGGTTTCCAGGGACAGCATTGGAAGCTGCGAGATTTAGGTTTTGGTTGTGGCCGCTTTGCCTTGATCCTTGGACCCCAAACAGCCCTAAACTAGGTGCGCACAACCGTAAAACTTAATTCCTAAACCCCGAACCTTAACACCGGGCTTGAGAGAATCCTTTTGCCCTAAATCCCAGACCCGATTTAACCCAAACCTTTGAGCTCTGGAAAGGTAGCCCAACGCTACCCTATTACCCCATAGTACCCGTTTAACCCAAAATAACCCCATGACCCAATAGCACCCTTCCGGCTCAACAGTACCTGACCTAATCACCCTGGAGAGCCCTATAACCTTAAAGTTTTAAGTCTCCTGAAATGACGACGAGTAAATCCTGAGTGAAGAGGATATCGGAAAACAACGGGCGACATCAGGAAAACAAGTTCGGAAACCAAGGAGGGCGATGTCGGAAAACAGCCGGACAGAATCACACAGCCAGGATCAGAAAACAGCACAGACGAAAGCAGAAACCATAACAGAATCGGAAAACACGAATCAGAAAGCAACACAAACAAAATCAGAAAACAGGATAGAGAAAATCAGAAAAATGGGCGCAAACGATTGTTTTTGCCCACAAACCGGGAGGTGAAGGAAGGCCGCGCTCCTTTCACCCCTCTGTTTTGGCCACAAATCGAGAGCAGAAGGAAGGCTACGGTCCTTTCACCCCTCAGTTTTGGCCACAAACCGGGAGGTGAAGGAAGGCCGCGGTCCTTTCACCCCTCGTTTTGGCCACAAACCGAGAGATGAAGAAAGGCCGCGGTCCTTGCACCCCTCTGTTTCGGGATGAAGGAAGGCCGCGGTCCTTTCACCCCTCGGTTTCGGCCACAAACCGAGAGGTGAAGGAAGACCACGGTCCTTTCACCCCTCTGTTTTGGCCACAAACCGAGAGGTGAAGGAAGGCCGCGGTCCTCTCACCCTTCGCTTTTGGCCACAAACCGGGAGGTGAAGGAAGGCCGCAATCCTTTCACGCTTCGGTTTTGGCCGCAAACCGAGAGGTGAAGGAAGACCACGGTCCTTTCACCCCTCTGTTTTGGCCACAAACCGAGAGGTGAAGGAAGGCCGCGGTCCTCTCACCCTTCGCTTTTGGCCACAAACCGGTGAAGGAAGGCCGCGGTCCTTTCACCCCTCGGTTTTGGCCACAAACCGAGAGGTGAAGGAAGGCCGCTGTCTTTTCACCCCTTCGGTTTTCGTCAGTTGAAGGAAGGCCGCGGTCCTTTCACCCCTTGGTTTTGCCAACAAACGGAGAGGTGAAGGAAGGCCACCTTCGGTTTTGGCCGAGGAAGGCTGCGCTCCCTTCACCCCTCGGTTTTGGCCACAAGCCAAGAGGCCTTCCTTCCGGTCGTTTCAGCCCTCGGTTTTGGCCACAAACCCAAAGGTGAAGAAATGCCGCGGTCCTTGCACCCCTCGTTTTGGCCACAAACCGAGAGATGAAGAAAGGCCGCGGTCCTTGCACCCCTCTGTTTCGGGATGAAGGAAGGCCGCGCTCCCTTCACCCCTCGGTTTTGGCCACAAGCTAAGAGGTGAAGGAAGGCCGCGGTCCTTTCACCCCTCGGTTTTGGCCACAAACCGAGAGGTGAAGGAAGGCCGCGCTCCTTTCGGTCCTCGGTTTTGGCCACAAACCGAGAGGTGAAGGAAGGCCGCGGTCCTTTCACTCCTCGGTTTTGGCTACAAACCAAGAGGTGAAGGAAGGCCGCGGTCTTTTCACAACCGAGAGGTGAAGGAAATGGCCGCGGTCCTTTCACCCCGGTGTTTTGGCCACAAACCGAGAGGTGCAGGAAGGCCGCGGTCCTGTCACCTCGGTTTTGGGCCACAAACCGAGAGGTAAAGGAAGGCCGCGGTCTTTTCACTCCTCGGTTCAAGAAGGCCGCTTTCCTTTCACCCCTCGGGTTTCACAAACCGAGAGGTGAAGGAAGGCCGCGCTCCTTTCACCCCGGTTTCGGCCACAAACCAGAGGTGAAGGAAGGCCGCGCTGCTTTCACCCCTCGGTTTTGGCCGCAAACCGAGAGGTGAAGGAAGACCGCGGTCCTTTCACCCTTGTGTTTTGGCCACAAAGCGAGATGTGAAGGAAGGCCGCGGTCCTTTCACCCCTCGGTTTTGGCCACATACCTGTACAGAAATGTGGTCTCCAACAACATGGGAATTCGCACGCGAGCTGGCCCGTCATGCCATTGCAGTGGCTCATTTTGCCTTTCGTTTGTCCTGTTTTCTGATTTTTCGACCGCCCTGTTTTCTGATCTGGTCCGTCATGTTTTCTGATATTGTCCGCGCTGTTTTCTGATTCTCATGCGTCCTTTTTTTTGATTTTGGCTTTCCGTTTCCGATTTTGCTTTCTGATTTTGTCCGGTGTTTTCCGATATCGTCCGATCCGTTTTCGAAGTTGTTATCTGATATCGTCCGTACCCAGTATATCCTAACCCTAAACCCCAAACCTAAACCCTAAACCCTGCACCCTAAATCCTAAAGCCTATGAGAGGACGAGGACAAGATGATCCAGACCGCAAGCGATGCTGCCGCCAGCATCGAAGAGGCTTTTTCGGGGATGTTGTAGATGCTTATCGAATTTGTGGGCACTTGCAGGGTTTTCAGGGCTTAGATGTGGGTTCAATATAGGGGCATACTTGCTAGAATAGTGTTGTAGGGTATATTGTACGAGAAGGAAACAGAGAGACTACAAGGGGATAGTTGTCAGTTATTCCGACTCCCGATGTTAAGGTTCGGGTGTTTAGGTGGGTTTCGATTTCTCTGGAAGTTTAGGTTTTTGGGGTTGGGGGTTAAGGGGTTCCTGTTGGGTGTGCCAAATGCCGTGGATTTGTCAGCCAAGTGACAGTCTTAGTGTGATGTAGCGGCCTAAATAATTACCACTGCAATTTCGGGGTTCCTTATGCTAATCAAAAAT